AGCCCCAAGTCTGGAAGATCTGTGGGGGCAGGAACTTGCCTACTACACAGTGTTCAATAAAGAATCACTGAAGCAGGTCATGGTGGCATACATCTGTAATTCCAGCATTCAGGAGGCTGAGGCAGGAGGATCACCAAGAAGCAGAGCCCAGCCTGCGCTCCATAGTGAGTTCAAGTCTCACCAGGACTACATAGTGAGACCCTGACTCAAAATAAACAAGTCATTGAATAAGTAGATGAAGGCCTTAGATAAGTTCAAAAGGTGCAGTTGTGAGTCCTCAAGGTATTCATTTTGAGGGACAGTAGGGTAGGTCAGAGGTTCTAGAAGGCTATTCTCCCTGTTCCAGCCTACAATCTGCACCGTGGAGCCTCTTCTTCTCTCACCCACTCAGGGAATAGGCCACAAAGAAACATTGCCGAGGTGTGAGAGCCCCCTAAAGTTTTATAATAGGCGCCCATGATACAAATTGCTATAGAGGAAAGAAGTCACCCCTGGGGAACTTATCTAAGAATATATCATGAGGTGGGCTATTTTGGGACTCAAATTGCACAGGCGGGCTGGGGAAAATAGACGTGTGCAGGGATGAACACAGCTACAATTAATGTTAACTATAAGGTGTCATATCTTTACCAAGCGGCAGCCTGCAGTGTTCCCGGCGGAAGGTGAACTGGAGCCAAGTACTCAGGTGGGAGGGGACAGTGTCCTCCCAGGAAGCCAAGAGAATGAAGGAGTGGGCGGGGACTCACTGGAGAAGGTAGGGCTTTCTCAGAAGGCAGCAGTCACCTTGGCCAAGGTGGCCCCAAGTTAGAAATGGAACCAAGATGGGCCCCACGTAGCTCAGGGAAGCCTCAGGTCCAGAATCAGAGGCGCAGAGAGAAGATCAGGAGTTTTCCTAGGAGGTCACCACATCATGAGAGCCTGTCTACCTATTCACTTTGCGATCCTGCCTACACTGAGAATGTTAGAAAGGGACAGTAGAAAGTATTCACATCCTGGACTCTAAGCTAAATTGCTTAGCCTAATCTATAAGGCCCATACCTAAAAGAAATCAGTCTTCCCCACAGGTAAGGCTATTTTTAAAAATCTTAATAATGTCATACTGAGTGTTTAGCTGTATATAGGGTGGAAAGGTGGGGGCCAGGCTTCATGAATATGTATCCTAGGTTTCTAATTGATAGCTGATAACCTTGAAGAGGACATCTCACCTCCCACAACTTCAGTTTATTCTTCTGTAACACCTTACAATAATCCTTTCCAGAGTCCAACAGATTTGGAAGTAGATCGGGTTGTATTGGGTCACTGTATATTAAGTGTCTCTATGTTTTTCACCCACTGGGTCCTTCACAAGACCTTGTCTTGTGAAGACTATTGTGAGCTTTTTGTTGTTGTTTTGTTTATTTGTGGGGCTGGGGATGAACCCAGGTCCTCACACACACTAAGTAAGCATTTTACCACTGAGCTATTCCCCAGCCCTATGCCATATTTGGCTTCCAGCAAGGCAGCCACCAAGACAGCTAGCTAGCATGTCTGCTTCTTCCTTTTTATTCTGGATGGCAAGCAGGTTATCTACTATACATGAACCTTTCTCACATGGGGGCTGAGTAACATGACACTAGTATATAAAATGTGACTTATGAAAAACCACAGTGTGTTTCATATTCATTAGATTTGGAAAGGTCTTTTTCAGTGTGAACCATTTCTAAAATATTCCATTTTGCTTCTAAGCTTCTGTCCAATCCCAGTTCATGTCTCATAACGTCTATGCCCCTTTAGAGCAAAAACCATGTTTTAAACATGCTGGTTCAATGGGAGCCCCCGGGTGACTTGCTTTTGCTCAGAGCTGCATCTGCAGCACCCAGAACAGGGCTTTGAACTTTGTATAAGGCTCCACAAGGATTTGGCAAATGAACGAATGTCTTCTAACCCTTAGCACAATGCTAGGCACTCGCTAAATCTTTGTTGAATGAATAAATTAATTTTAGAAAGGTGAATACTTTCTACTGTCCCTTTCTAACATTCTCAGTGTAGGCAGGATCGCAAAGTGAATAGGTAGACAGGCTCTGGACTCAGATGGATTCTGGTTCTTCTACTTACTAGCTGGGTAACCTAGAGTGAGCTGCTGAACCTCTCTGTACTTCACTTTTCTCAGCTGTGAAATGGGGAGAATAATTTTTCTAACAGAATTACAGAGTTCACTGAAAGCACACATAAAATATTTAGCAGTGACTGGCACATGGCAACTGCCACTATATTTTTTATGATCCTGTCACTCTCTTAACCTTCAGTGGCTCCTCCGTAGCTAACAGAATAAGATCTAAAGTCAAGGTCCCCATAATTTGGCCCCAATATCCCTCTCTTTCTCGCCCCACCTTTTATTACTATTTCCTGGCAGCTACCTGTGTCAGATCTCCCACAAAGTGATACATTATCCAGGGGTGGGGATTTAGCTCAGCGGCACAGCGCCTGCCCAGCAAGTGCAAGGTCATGAGTTCGATCCCTGGTACCGGAAAAACAAACAAACAAACAAACAAAAAAGTGATACATTTTCCATTCATTTGTTCCCCTTCTCAAAAAATAAAATCCTTCAAGGCAGCGCTTATTATTATTGCCTGTATGTCACTGATGATGAGACCAAGGCCCAGAGAGGAGTAACAACTTTCCCAGGGACACACAGCTAATATCAAGAAATCAGGATTTTTATTTACATGGCTCTAAAATTCTTATGCTCAGACTGTGGGTCAGCACTACCAGCACACCTGGGAGTGTGTCAGAAATGCAGACCCTCAGGCCTCCTCCTAGACCCACTGAATTAGAATCTGAAGTATAACCAGACCCACTCCTGTAAGATGACTGCTATGTTCAGTAAAGTTTTAGAAGCACTACTCTAAACGACTTTCTGTCATTGGGTAGGAGTGCAAATGAAATCAAATATGTGATCTCATTTAAACCCCAACAATCCGGGAGGTCAGGTGAGGTCAGCACCAGTGACCCTTTTACAGAAGAAGCAGTAAGGTTCTGAAAAGGTAGCCTCTTGACCTGAACCCACATGCACCCAATGGCAGCATGACGCGCTGACCTTTAGCACATCTCCAATCCCTGTCTCATCCTTGAATTCTTCTCAACACTTCACGCTCCATTCACAATCTCTTCCTAATAGGCGAAGTCCTTCTTACCCATATCCTGCCGGGCGGATTAATTGCTTTTCCTTTCATAGTCCTCACAGCTCCCTACACATAGCTTTCTCTTGGCCCTAATATGTACTGAGCATGAACTGTGTGCCAGCCACGCAGTAGGCACTGAGTACATGTTTGGTGAGCCAGTTTGCTCCCAAGCACTTGAAAGCATGTATTAACACACTTTCATCACACTTGGGTCATCACACTGCTTGTGTTTCCTTTGTCCCTCCTTTCCACTATCCTGAGCTCTTCTGTGTCCCCAGAGCACAGGATAGAGCCTTTATAGGGCCCTAAGTCTTTATAAAACAAACTCTATGCTCTTCAATGTAAAGATGGAATTCATCTATAGTACTTAAGAGCGACTTTTACCGGGACTGTCGCCTTCCACTTCCAGGGGTAGCAAAAGACAGATCAGGCACCTTGCTACTCACCATTCCATCTTTGGGCTGATCCAGGATGCCTAGAATTACAGTCATAAAATCTACAGATGTTTGAAAAATCTTCCTCATTTTTTCCCAGACCATCAGTGGAAGGCATAGAAATGCTAAATGACTCCACGCCTCCCCCACCCATTCCCCAGGGTTAAAACCACCACATACCCCATAACCTAACAAAGAAAAGGAGAAAGGGCCTCCCAGACACCCAGAGCCTAGCAGTCCCCATGTTCTGCCTCTCATTTTACCGGAACCCGGAGAAAGCTCTGGTTTGTAGGCCTCAATTTCCTCGTTTGTAAAATGAGGGGTTGGACTAGTTTCTAAAGCTCCTTCCAGCTCTGAGATGCTGTACTACAAAATGAGAGAAATGTGAACCTTTGGTTGCTATGATCTGAAAATATTTTGAATGTGGAGAATCAAATTGTACAGCAGCGCACGAACAAAATAATATGTTAATGACTAAGAAGATTGTATTTAATCCAATGGGAAACTGCAGAGCTGCCGGGGTGTGTGTGAGTGTGTGTGTGTCTGTGTGTGTGTGTGTGTGTGTGTCTGCGAGGCTTCCTACCTTAAGCTCAAACATATATTTTGAATCACTAATACAGTAATCAGGCCTGTGGCAGCCTATCTTGCCCAAACACACACACACACACACACACACACACACACACACACACAGAGACACACACACACTCACACACACCACTTCAAATTAAAATGGGGGTAAATTTCCACTGTTGCTGCCTACATCTTTTCTGTTTGGGTGACTTTTTTTAAAGAAATTTTTGTAGTGAAGGTGTTGGACTAACAGACCCTGGAAGCCTCTAATCTTAGAACTGGGGCACGTGGGCGTGAAACAAGGAATCTTATTAGCAATTTTGTTTTCCCACACCAAAATTCAGTCCAGCAACGAAACCGCAAGGTTTGGGGTCAGACTGGCAACCCCAGAGGCCAGAACACCTGCTCTGGTCCCTACCGTACCGGCGCGGAAAATGAAAGCGCACAAGCTACGCCTGGGGGAAGGGTTAGGGAGCCGACCTCCCACGACTAAAGGTCCGGGTAAGCAGGTGGAAGTGCCCCCAGGGTTACACGTGGGTCTAACCTGGACCTCGCTCCAACTTCCTTTCCACGCGGGTCCTTTGAC